CAGAGAGTCATATAGTAAACAAACATATCATAACCACATCACAGCTTAAGGCTTCTTCTGAACATTTGAAGGTCCCTACTATGTATTGGTTACCTAAACTACACAAAAAAAAACCCAGTAAAATCTCTTTTCATCTCGGCCTCAAGTAAGTGTTCTACAACTAATCTTTCAGTGCTTTTAACAAGTTCCTTAACTACTATCAAAGAACTTATCATAAACGTTTGTAAAAAAATATATAAAAATAGTGGAGTTAACTATTTTTGGATTGTGAAATATTCTTTGGATGTTTTAGATAAATTACGTGCTTTTGATGGTGCTTTTGATTCTGTGACAGTTTTGACTTGTCTACTCTTTACACTACATTTCCAAACAATCTTATCAAACAAAAGTTTTCCTATTTAATTAAATGGTCGTTTGGTATATCTGAATACAAATATATTTGCTGCAACTCATTTAAAACCTTCTTCTCTAATGAGAAAGGTAAATATGCTAGATATACTTACTGGAGGTGTGATGAGATGATTGAAGCTGTTCATTTTTTCCTTGATAATATTTATGTACGTTTCGGCTACAAAGTTTACCGACAGGTTGTAGGTATTCCGTTTGGCACTAATTGCGTTCCTTTAATAGCAGACATGTTTTTGTACTGTTATGAATCATAGTTTATGTCCACACAGTAAAGACCCGTCTAAATTATATATAATTGATAAATTCAACAACACTAACCGTTATCTTGAGGATATGTTTTCGTTAAATAATCAAGAATTTTCTAATTATACTGCCGAAATTTTCCCAAAGGATCTTACTTTAAATAAATCAAATGTAAACGGTAATAACTGTCCTTTCCTAGATTAAGATATTTCGGTTTTACACGAGAAACTTCACAATAAAATTTACGACAAAAGGGACGATTTTTCGTTCCCTGTTGTTCATTTTCCCTTTTGGGATGGTGATGTTCCTTTAACACCATCTTACGGTGTTTATGTTTCACAACTCGTTCGCTATGCCCGTGTCTGTTGTGACGTTTTTGATTTGAACGAACGTAATCTATGTATTTCTGTAAATTATTAAGCCAGTGATTTCGTTACCACAAATTACTTAAAACCTTTACTAAATTCTTCCATAGATATAAATATTTGGTTTGGAAGTTTGGTTGTACCTGTAGAAAACTTATTTCAAACAGTATAGCACATCCTCATTTTTACGGAGATGTTGTTTACCGTGTCCGGAAATTTAGAAACGATCCTGGTAATCTAATGGATCCTTTAAATAAACTTATTCTAAAAGGTTACCAATTCAACACTGTAATTAGATCTTTGAATATTGTGTTTATTGGTATTAATATTGATTTTGTTATCAGTAAATTAAAAGCAAATTAAATATTATGGTTATATACAAAGGCACATTCATGGATCTACAATCTGTCGATACCTGTATCTTGGCATTGCACAAGGTCATGTTTTTCTCTGACTGTTAATGACGTCTTTACACTAAATCCATTGGATGTTGGATGTGTAATGATTGATAATTTAGTCTTAGATGCATGATTTTTTTATTAGTTGTTATTGGCTTTGAACTAGCTGTCAGTAACTGCGAGTACTCTCAGATCAGTACTTAGTGGCTTTTTGTTGTTGGGATGTTCAAGTACACGGCCAATTCCACTCTGTGTTTTTGTTAGATGTATTTCTATTTGTATTCATCTGATGAGTTAAGCCTTTTTCAACTGATTTTTATAGTGTGTTCTTATGTTGTACTGTTACACCACTGTCCCAGTTTAGGGGAGGGTTGGGCGCCCGTTAACATGTTTAACCCCAACACATTCTATATGTGCCTGTCCCAAGTCAGGAGCCTGTAATTGAGTGGTTGTTGTTTGTTGCTGTTGAACATATTCGTTGTTTGATTATTGTTTATTGTTTGTTGCTGTGTTACATATTTGTTTTTCGTTCATTATTTTGTACATTAATTACGCCATTAGTTTTTTCGTTTGAATTGTTTTACATTTTTCATTTCGGGGCCTTTTATATCTGACTATGTGGTATGGGCTTTGCTCATTGTTGAAGGCCGTACGGTGACCAATAGTTGTTAATTTCTGTGTCATTTAGTCTCTTGTGAGTTTTTGTTTCATATTTAAATATCAACTATACGATCAACTATAATGATTTCCTAGCATCTACATCGTGTTCAACATGTATTACAAGTTCCAAGTCTCCTCAGTCTAGAAAAAAATGTGCAATAATTCAATAGAAGTGATCTTATATCTGACACCAATACCAAATTTAGGATGAGCTGAAAACACGAGGAGACGGCGATACTCACCGAGACAGTTTCTGACAATTGACAGGAAATTACACATTCAGTTTTAACATTTTCAAAAGTAAAAAGAATATAAGCTCCTCTTTCCGATAATTGTGAAACAAAAAAACAACAAGAAAAACCAAACACAAAACAGAGTCCTAATTCAATAATCTATCGGAAATAAATATGATAATGTTTGTCATAAAAAATTACTCATCCATCATAATCAGATTTTGAGTGGATATCATAGTGTATTGCATTAAGCTTTTTTTCCCCTTATGTTACTTCTTTTCATTACGTAGGGTATTGAATTTTGTTTAAGGTTTACTTTCGTTGCACAGTCAGGATCGATTTTAGAAATTGATTATTTTTGCTAGTATATTTGTAGTCTGTTCATGCACATGCAAAATAGTACTGTACACTAGTTAATAATTCAATCATATCTTGAAAATCATAAACATGTAGTACATGTAGTAAGATAAACGATACGTCAATCTTTAAAGACCAAAATGTTGCAAAACACTTGTCGTACCTCCATGACAAATATGTTGTTGTCCCCGCAGATAAAGCCCCAAACAACGTCGTTTTTGTGTGTAAATCACATTACATAAACTGCTTGATCAATGCATTAGGTATTGACAATTCACTTGGAAACTCTACATTTACCCCTAGACACTTACCAAAGAGGAAATCCTGGATAATCATAGGTCTGTTCTATGTTCCTTTGGAATTTCAACCAAAGATGAAGAACTGGATCTTCCATCATGTATTGGATACCTAAACTACATAAGTGTCCTTATAAACAACGGTATATTGCTGGGTCTTCCAAGTGCTCCACGAAACCTCTTTCTAAATTATTAACAACAATTTTATCAGCAATCAAAGCCGGACTGCCTATTCTAGAGGAGGCGTGAATCAGATGTGGATACTAAAAAATTCCAAAGATATTTTAGAGTACATAGAGTCTAAGACTCTTTCATCTTGCAATAGTATTAAAACATTTGACTTTTCTACACTTTACACAAGTATTCTCAATTTAAAACTAAAAGACAAATTGAAAGAGTTGGTATTGCTTTGTTTCATAAAAAAGAATGACCAACGTAGATAAAGGTATCTTGTCTTAGGGAGGGATACATCCTACTTTGTAAAAAATAACTCTGATTTAAACAAAACAATCTCTGAAACTGTCATTATCAAGATGCTTGGTTTCTTGATTGACAACAGATTTGTTACGTTTGGAGGACGTGTTTTTTCAACAGATTATCGGAATTCCCACGGGAACCAACTGTGCCCCTCTTCTTGCCGACTTGTTCCTTTATTCTTATGAGGCTGAATTCGTACAGGAACTTCGTAGGAAGAAAAAAAAGAAGTTAGCAGTATCCTTTAACTTTACTTTCCGCTATATAGATGATTTTCTCTCACTAAATAATTCAAAATTTGGTGACTATGTTGAACGCATCTATCCCATCGAACTAGAGATAAAGGATACAATAGATACAGTTAAGTCTGCCTATCTTGACTTACATCCAGAAATTGACAATGAGGGTCGGTTGAAAACAAAACTTTACGACAACAGAGATGATTTTAGTTTCCCAATTGTGAACTTTCCATTTCTATGTAGCAACATTCCAGCAGTGCCTGCTTACGGAGTATATATAACCCAATTGATACGATATTCCCGGGCTTGTATTTTTATCATGATTTCCTTGATAGAGGGTTGCTGCTCACAAGGAAGCTATTAAACCAAGAGTTCCAAATGGTGAAGTTGAAATCATCTCTTCGATAATTTTACGGACGCCATCACGAGTTGGTTGACCGTTATGGAATATCCGTTTCACAGATGATAACGGATATGTTCCTAATGCCGAAACTACAATCCCGTTCCCTTTTTACGAATGTGACCTACCGAATTAGAATATTTACCGGGTTTGTACTAACATGAGCAACACGACGGGTGCCACATGTGGAGCAGGGTCTGCTTACCGTTCCGGAGCACATAAGATCACCCCCAGTTTTTGGTGGGGTTCGCGTTGCTTAGTTTTTAGTTTTCTATGTTATGTTTTGTGTACTATTGTTTGTCTGTTTGTCTTTTTCTTTTTTAGCCATCGCGTTGTCAGTTTATTTTCGGTTTATGAGTTTGAATGTCCCTCTGGTATCTTTCGCCCCTCTTTTATAGCATCGAGCATTATGGAAGATACACTTATTGTCGAAATGCGCATCTGGTCCAGAAAAAAATTTGCACCGTTAAAGTTATTTCAATAAACAATATTCGAACTTCCATTTAAATATCGTAGTACTGAGCAACTGGTACCCCGAGAAACTAAAAGACCATCAACAGAGGTATCGACCCAGTTTTACATGTATTATAAACGGTGCCAATATTACTGTATTAGAGCGCATTTTGACAATAAATGTATCTTCGGTGATGCTCGATGCCAACACAATTGAACATTTAAAACATAATGTAAACTGTAAAGACCTGATACAATTGAATGGGACCAAGACTTTTTATTTATGCATAGATTTTTTTTATTTTATTTGTCTGTCATATTTAGATCAGTATAGCCTACGAAAGACAATGAGACTGAGCATGGTAATATCTACATTGGAATGAAGAGGTGCAATACGGAAATGCATGATACGATAATACTTATCATGATCAACGTCCCACATACTTGGTGTACATAAAATCACATAAGGAATTGTTAATCTTAACAAGAAAAATCACTTTAATCAAATTGCATATAAGAGTTTAAATTGAACAATGTAGTGACAACAGTTACAAACTACGCAATATCACAGATTTGATAAAAAAAAACAACACATAAAAAGTATTAATAATATATTAATTTTATAGGATTACACGGCAATCGTTTTCTTGCAAATTTAGGCTAACTTTTATACCAGTCTTTAAACTATCATATCGTTAAGGCGTCCAAAGATTTGGAAGGTCAGGAGGTTCTTGTCGTTGTATTCCCCGCAAAGGCGGTAGCACCTGACGACGACTTTTAGCAAGATCTTCATCGCATACTGTAGTTCTCATTTTTAATATGCTAAATGCTTGTGTTTTAGGAATAAGATAAGGAATACTCTCGTCTCTAATTTCCTGAACACCCATGGTACGCATTCTCCGCAAAACTGTTGCCTTAGTTACTTGTTGATTGCCTTTTATTTCAATACCACCTTTCTTAGGCTGAACTAACCAAGGATTTTCTTTAACTGATATTGGTTTTTGTTGCATTTCGAAGTCGATCTGAGTTCGCGCTCTAGCTATGTTTCGACCATTATGACCATGCTTTGAATGCGAAAGATAAATATTCCTTAAGTTTTCTATTCTTTCTTCATACTGTTCGTCATTAAGTTTTGGTTGACTTATTTTAATTTCATGAACATACTGTTTGATGCTTAGGCTAAACCTCTTCCTTTCTTTTGATTTTTTGAAATTGCTTGTTGCGCCACTTGAAATGATAAATATTGAAGAGGTATCACCGGAACGATCGCTTGTACTATTAGTCGATCGCTTTGGTTGCTCAGAACCGGTTCTTAAGTTTAAAATCGTTGGTGCCGATTTTGATAAAATAGTTTTATCCCCATTTTCCTTCATATTTTCAGGTGTTAAATCTATTGGACGTTTGTCTTCATTTTGATTATTTTTGTCACTTTGGTTCTTTTTTGTTTCCATTTTGTTATCCTCTCTCACTTGATCTGAATTTTCATTTTCAATGCTTTGTATAGGTACTACAGAATTTTTCAAGTGAATTACCTTTCGCTCCTGTTTTTGCCGGGTTTGTTTTTTTAAACTTTCAAAGAAGGTATTGTTGAATACCATTTTTGCAGCTTTGTCTGGCCGTGAAGTATTTATGTCTGATGTTTTATAATAGTCTTCATGTTTTTTTTCTTGGGCAAGTGGTCTCTCCTGCAATGTATTAGCAATCGAAGTTACACTCAACTTACGGGGTATGCCCTTGGATTCCATAGACATATCATTATGTAGAGTGGAATCTTCATTTTCTCTCTGGATCTTGTTTTCATTTTCCTCAAAAAAACTTATTTCGTTTTCAAAAAGATCGTTACTTGATTCTGATTTTGTCAATACACTTTGTTTTTCACAATATGTTAATCTTTTATGATGCACGTCTGCCCTATTGTTATTTTTATCCTTGTCCTTTGTCATATTAGATTGTATTTCTTTTTGATTCCTTTGCGTGTGTGTTTCCACTTTTCTTTTATCTTCCTTCTCGTCCGTTTTTGCAGTTTCCTCGTTTTGTTTATTTGATATTGGAGGAATGGTATTAGAAAAAGTTTTCTTTCCATTTTTCAAGTCTTCATTTATTCCTCTCTGTCGATTTTCAGGTTTTGGAGATTTGAACGTTATCGATTTCTCGATCTCATTTGTAATTTCTTTATTTTCATTAGTGCGTATTTGTTCTGTTCCTGAATTTGTATTCTCGGTTTTTCTGCCTAGCTTATTTATTTCTTCTGTATCTAATAATCCGTATTCATGAGGTTTAGGGATTGTCTTTGTCTTCTCAGATTTCGATATTTTAGAATTTTGTTGGTCATTTTCGATAATGTCAACATGTTGATCTAATACTTTATTGTCTGTTTCACTTTTTTGTACTTTACCTTCTTCTTTTCTAATTACTTTCTTATCGGGTGTAGTGTCGATATCCTTCTTATCGGGTGTAGTGTCGATATCCTTCTTATCGAGTGAAGTGTCAATATTCTTCTTATCGGGTGTAGTGTCGATATCCTTCGTATCGGGTCTAGTGTCAATATCCTTTTTATCGGGTGAAGTGTTCAAGTCTTTAATTTGACTTTTTACATTTCTCTTATTTCTTTCTTCTGATTTAGTATCAGTTCGTTCTTTTTCGTTTATTTTAACATTATTTTTGGTGTCGCTTTCATTATCAATATCTAGTGCTCTTGTTGAATTAGCTTCTTCTTCACCTAACTTACCCGGATTCTTTCCGGTTTCAATGTTAGTAGGAACCGTTTTCTTTTCTTTTGAAATCTCATCTGTCTTTTTTGACTTTTTAATTTTAGATCCAGATGAAGCTTTTGCTTCTTTCTTTGTAGGTGGGTCTAATTCCTTTATCGGATTGGGTTCATTGGTTTGTTTAATATCTTTTTCTTTTTCGACTTTAATACTATTTTCTTTTTCGACTTTGATATGTTTTTCTTTTTCGACTTTAATAATATTTTCTTTTTCGACACTACTATTTTTTCCAGACCTTTTCTTTTTGTCGTTGTTTTTTTGGGCTGAATTATTTTGCTTGGAATTTTCCCTGTTCTGTTGTGCGATACTGTTTTGATTTTGCTCTTTTACCACTGTTGCATACGCTGGAGGTGGGGAGTGTTGTTGTGTTTGAACTACACGTGGTGATTATGAATTTCCCTCTAGCTCAGCCTCGGAACCACTCTCTGATGTTACAACGACAGGTTTGGGAGCTGATCGACCAAATTTTTTGTGAACCTTCTGCTTTGTTTTTTTAGCCTTAGATTTCTTCTTGCAACAAATGACACAGATCAGTATTATGATGATTAAAATCAATAGTGCTGTTACAGCACATGCAATTATTATATATAGTAAGGTATTGTCTTCTTTTTTACCTGCAACAAAATATTTATAAAACTAGAAATTTTAAATAACTGGAATGTGGCATAAATATTTTGTTGAAGCAAATTATTTAGTAGCAACATAATATGTTCGTAAATATACATGTTTTTTTCTACGAGTGGCTAAATCTGAGGTTCATATTCATATATTATAAATAAATTTGAAACGTAATGATTTGAAAAAAAATTGATATCTCAAAGTGCTTATGACAAAATGTTTCAAAAAGATGAATGTGCTAAAAAAAAAAGAAAAATGTGTCAGCTCGTATCAAATTATTCATAATAGGTTGCAGTATTGAAAATAGTTTGAATCGTAGTGAATTATGCCTAAATGATTAGTTCATTAAAAACAGCAAATTTTTCTAAATGCTAAATTGATTATCTTCTTCTCATTTATAATTATGACATGTAAGTCCATGTATGAACAAACGTCCTTTTAGTCATTATTTTCAGTAAATATTGTTATAATTACTTGAAAGAACTTACTCTCAGACCTGTATTTTGTTTCGTTTGTTGCTGTGTTACATATTTGTTTTTCGTTCATTATTTTGTACATAAATTACGCCGTTAGTTTTCTCGTTTGAATGTTTTACATTTTTCATTTCAGGGCCTTTTATAGCTGACTATGCGGTATGGGCTTTGCTCACTGTTGAAGGCCATACAGTGACCTATAGTTGTTAATTTCTGTGTCATTTGGTCTCTTGTGAAGAGTTGTCTCATTGGCAATCATGCCAAATCTTCTTTTTTATATTTGTGTCATTTTTGTTTATACGGATGTATAAATACCCTGCCACGTCCGGTCTGTTTTGTTTGTTTGTTAGATTTGTTTCTGCTTTGTATCGATCTGATGAGCTACGCCATTTTCAACTGATTTTTAGTTTGTTCTTATATTGTGCTGTTATACCACAGTTCCAGGTAAGGGGGTGGGTTTAGCACTCACAAACATGTTTAACCCGCCAAATTCTTTATGTGCATGTCCCAAGTCAGGAGCCTGTAGTTCAGTGGCTGTCGTTGGTTCATGTCTGTTATATTTGTTTTTCGTAAATTGTTTTGTTATAAATAAGGCTTATAGTTCTCTCAATTGAATTGTTTAATATTTTTCATGTTCGGGCCTTTTACAGCCGACTATACCTTATGACGTTTTCTCATTGTTGAAGGCCGTACGGTTGCCTACTATACGGTATGACGTTTTCTCATTGTTGAAGGCCGTACGGTTGCCTACTTTACTTGCTTATTTCAACTTGGGTGGATAGTTGTCTCATTGGCAATCACACCACATCTTATTTTTATATCATTCATTCTTACATACTTGCAGCGACTTGTACGGTTGTACTAACTGTGCTTGTTGGTGCTCCCTCTAGTATGTAGCTTAACCGAAAACCTTCTCTGGCAATTGTCTCGTCAGTTGAGAAAAGAATGTACATAGTACCATCTGTACTCCGTACTGTGGATGGAGGAGGAACAAAAGAACCACAACACGTTTGCAAGAGGAGACTTGCGCTTGAGTTGGAGCCTGTTTAAAAAAGTATACACTGTATTAAAAATTGTATATAATATAAAATCAACCCACAAGAAAAAAATATTTTTCTGGTTATTTATATGTAATCATGGTTACATATGTCTGTACAGAAATAATCTCAAATGCCAAAATATACCCAAAAATTGAATCACACACATTTATCGCCAAGAGTACAAATAGATTCAATTTCCATTTTCTACAAACATCAATTAATACACTGATTAGCTCTACAGTATTTAGTACAATGTATGTGTGAATGCACAATCACTAGACTTTGAATGCGAATAACCAATATAAGTGACTGTATCTGCAATGTGTAATAGTATACTGCGAAAATGATTGCGAAGGATCACTTGCTATTAAAATAATGCTTATTGTATTATTTTTATTACCCATGAAGAAAGAAATGCCATTCTTTGGGATTCAAATGTTTTGTTCCCTTTTTTTGGATAACACCTGTCACAGTACCAGTTTTTTTGGGAAAAATTCTGACAGTTTTAATTTTTCAAAATGTCGATTTGTCATCAATTTCAATGACTATTTTTTTCCTTATCCAAATATCGATATCAGCATGTTTGATGGGAAAATGTGACATATTTTCGAACACCTAATTTAGGTTCGGAAAATTGCAACACTTATTCCGTGTGTTTGTTAAATTAAGTGGACCATAATTGTATTAAATTTCATTACTGTAATTTAGATTTAGAGTTTTGAACTTCCACCTTAAATAAGAATCTTCTCATGTCAGTTTAAATTTTGTGGGAAAAAAGTAAGAATTAGAACAACTGCATTTTTCCTTCAAAAGACCTTACAGTGTCGACTGCATAGACTTTTTTTAACGAGCATCCATGAATTTGCAATGAACAAACAAGTGAGCCATCTTCTTCAAACAAAGATAAAATGTATCCACCTCTGTTTGTTAGAGCTTAATTAAAGCTTTCCATAAAGATGCAATGGGAATAAATCCTGTTAGTCCTTAACTTTGTGTTCGGTATAGACGTCTTGTGTTTTACGTATGTATGAAAATGCTTTCTGTTTCTATGGTTTGATTTCTGATACTACTTGCGTATAAGAAATTATCAGTTGGTATAAAAGACTTTAAAGTTATACACACCATCGTAAAAAAAGATTTCATCCTTAATACAAACTCCCTTGTTGTTGCCAGTCTCTATGGAACATGCCACGAATCCTATTGTAATCGTGTAGTTTGCTGTTTCTCCTGTTATCAACCAGTCTCGAGAATAATTACTGCAAAAAGATATACACATATATATATATATAGATTCTTACATTGATACCAGTGGATTATCGGATTTATCCAATCGAGATAGTTAAATTGTCAATTTTAAAGAGGACTTTAAAATTTATAATTTAACTATCGAGATTGGATAAATCCGATAATCCACGAGTAACTATGTAAGAATCTGTTTCTCTAATGATTAAAAAATAAATTTTCCTTTTTTGCTAAACTAAAATCCCCTTCGAGTGCCTTCCACTTTCCATAAAGTTGTCAATTTCATTAACACCTGTTAGCATATTTTGATGCATCCAGTGAGCTGAGAAAGGTTATGACCCTTAAACTCATCCAATCATCATCTGAGATCACTGGCAACCACACGTTGATTAAATTTTTTTATACAATGGGTTCGGAAAGGGATAAATTTCCATAGAATTAGAGAAATATATATATACAAGTCTAAATTGAAAACAACGGTTAAACCTATGATTGCGTTGGATAAAAACCGCAATTTTTATACGTGTGCATGCAAAACAAATTTCTTGGTAGAGGGGTCTAAATACAGCACAAACAAAATTTTCCAAAAGACCAAAACAGTGAAAAAGTATATTTTAACAAAACTCATTTGACTAGCAGGTCGAACAACGGATTTTCTTAAACCCTGCTGACTGCCATGGCGATTGCCAAATAAACGGATCACCAGAGGTAACAAAATGAATGTTAATTACTAATTTAATACCAATCAGAAAACAATAAACTTGCGGAAAAGATGGTATACCGCAAACATACAACACTTGAAAACACAAAAACCAAAGAAACCAAATTATATCTATTCCTCTCTACTTGCAACAACTTAACGATAGTTTCTTCCAAAGATAGTCGAGGTAATGGCTATAGGATTTCCCTATTAATTACACCTTATGTAAGAATCCTGGGTTTTGATTGGTTGATAGCCAGTGTATTTTTCACCAATTTACTGTAATTTTATCAAATGAATATCGTTCATTTTTTAACGCCGCCGGGGTATATGCAAAAAGGATATGCCTTTTTTACCCTCTCTGCCATTGTATTTGCCAAAAAATACTCTATCCGACTGGACGCTTGTAACGTCACGATCATCAATGCGTTTTTGAACGTTAACATTCGGTGTAATTAAACAGATATAGCATGTTCTTGAGGGGTATTTGCGAAAAATACCAGTCTTGAGAATGAATTTCCCTCGCCTTACGGCTCACGAAATTTAACATTCTCTCGACTGGTATTTTTCGCAAATACCCCTCCGAAACATGATATATCTGTTCAATATATACATATATATATATATAAATAGGCGCATTGGGAATCAACACCCTTTATCTATTGTTTTTAAGGTAACTATCATCAGATACTTTCTTGATAAAAAACATCAAATAATTAAAAAAATATGGAATTCACTTAAATTCAATGATATTATCATACTGTAGAGTCGAAATTTAAACTTTTTAAACCAAGAATATGATAAATAGGGCTATTCACGTTTATATATAATTTATGAGCTTTTATTAAGCTTTTTGCTAGTATGTGAGTATCTTTCTCGATTTTTGTCTGGCTATGTTGTAACAAAGAAACTCATTATCTTGTAAACGCGTGTATGGATAAAACATCCTTATATCAATCTAAAAGGATTTATGTTTGTTTTTCTTTCTTTCCTAGTTAGATCCAATTGCCAATTTAAAGAAATATGTTAGCATTTATTTAACTTACGCTTCTGGATAATATTCAACACCATTGTAAGCATCATGTGACACAAATGTTTGTAAGTATGGGGTAGCTGTCAGGTTGATGGTACCGTTTGCTCCTAAAAAAGAAATAAAATGATGTGTTTTTTTAAGTCTGTAGGTAATGCATGCTGCCTTAAGTAATAATTTAGTAAATTAAGTAATCATTTTGCGATGTCAATTTTTATTTGGTACGTTACATTGTAGCTTAAAATGCATTTACTTTTTTTCACACACGTTATTTA